AAAAGCAATGAAATACACATTCACATCTGGAACCGAATTCAACTCGTACTTTGTGTCTTTTATGTGGTTTACGTCTATGATAAGACTCACGTTCATAGAGGAGTTGATTTCTGTCACTGCTTCGTCGTCTGTGGGAAACTGGTAGATCTGAACACCGTTGCTAACCAGCTCGCTCATAATTTTGATCTTGAACTTGTGTAGCTCGCTCTTGGAAATCGTGTCAGCTTTAGCGATAATGGGGATGATGTTCACCTAAAAAAAATAAAAATAAATACATTTCACATTATATGTCTATGTTCTAGCTCCATGTGTGGCAAGCTTGTAGTTAGATTATAAACGAGCAGGGCTAGAATAAAACATGCAATTTAAGATCTCGTGCTAAATATGACACCAGTAATAAATCAAGCTACATGTGTTTAACTGAGATTCCTAAATGAACTAACAGGCCACAACTGTGACTTTAAAAAAGACAACTTGATGATAAAAGAGACAATCTGATGATAATGTTGATGAAAATTGGTTGATGGTTCATTGGTTGAGGGGCTAAGGTGGGTGAGAGCTGGCTTAATGTAGTCTGGCTTTCATGCAGTATTACCTCTTTACACAGATTTTGAGCAGGCACAGAGCAGCCTTAACTCAGCTGTGTAAAGATGCCTTAAGTGACTTCAGTGTCTTACTAAGTTTATAAAATCAACACTAATTTGCAATACCTTACAAATTACAAATGCACATGCTTTCTATAGAACGCTCGATCATGTGACATCTAACGGCAGACAGAAAAACGAAGCATTTCCCAGGCTTAATGTGTGTGTGTGTTCATGCATGGGGTCACATCATTACCAACCATCTGTGCATCTCCTAAAAAACAGAAAACCCAAGCTCTACTGTCGTTCACGTTACTCTGATGAAATGAAAAATTGATTGGCTCTTTTTCCACTGGACAGAGAGAAGCCCCTGCCCACTGTCCTACATTTCCACATATTTAAGGATTATCAATACATCAGTACAGCATTATTGACATCCTGTATACACACAAAAATGATAGCAAAAAATGTCTAAATGTGAAAATATTTTATGTCTAATAATAATAAATGTAATGTTTTCCATTCACACTGTTGTTGTTTTTTGACCCGGCCAACTTAAATGTTATGTTCCTATAATATTGATGAAGATTATGTTTATTACTAGCAAAGACCTGGCAATACAATTATACTCTTATAATTTTTACAATTTTATACCAATATCGGGGTTCTGAATCGGTATTGAATTGCCTTAATAAACTCCTAACTTGCTGCTTATTAATAGTTAGTAA